ATGTAGCACTTTAAAGACTAACAAGATGGTTTATTAGATGATGAGCTTTCGTGGGCCAGACCCACTTCCTCAGATCAAATAGTGGAAGAAAATAGTCACAACCCTATATACCAAAGGATACAATTTATAATCACACATGTGATTTGTCCTTTTCATATGTGTTCATTTTTTTAAATTGTATCCTTTGGTATATAGGGTTGTGACTGTTTTCTTCCATTATTTGATCTGAGGAAGTGGGTCTGGCCCACGAAAGCTCATCATCTAATAAACCATCTTGTTAGTCTTTAAAGTGCTACATTGTCCTGCATTTTGCTTCAGCTACCCCAGACTAACACGGCTACATTTCTACCTTTGTTTTAAAGCATGGAAATACAACCAGCAAAACTGCAAAAATCACCTGAGTCCCATATCAATCTTAACAGAATGAAATCTATAGACCCAACTCAGTCTCCAGTGGCAATACTCCATCAAAGCATATTCTTAGTCAAATGTGAGAAAGCTTTAATCAAAAGCCTGTGAACTCTGATGTTAGAAATGCATTACAAGTTACTGGGAATTCTGTCAGTTACAGTATGTTTCATCACATATCCAATAAGCAAGGACAGACATTCTCTTCCTATTTTATGAATGTTCAATCATCTTATTAAGCACAAAGTGCACCAAACTAATAACATCAAGCTGTTTCTAAAGCAGAATATCTCTTTTCTGCCCTCCGAGGACTAAGCATTCCCTTTGTCTCTGTGGCTCACACTGCTCTAAGAACTAGTTTGTGTACAAAAATAAGCTACCAAATCCCCAATACTGCCTGAAGCTAAAGATAACTGAACTGTTTACAAAACCAAACAGATAAAAACATTAAACCTTTCAAAAATTAAATGTAAACCCTGCAACTTGTGAAACTTACCATTTGTGCTCGGAGATACATTTGAGCCTGGCTTGCACTTAGGGTAGGAGAAGTACTCCCCAGCAACATAGTCTGTTGGGTTATACTGCTGCTAGTAGTGTTGGAAGTCTGTGAACGGCTTATTAATTGTGCAGGTGTCGGAGAGGTTGAAAGGTTAATCTAAGGAAATAAAAATGTTTCTTTGGTCATGGCCTTTCATTGTAGGTTTTAAAGTCAATCAGTCTTACGAAATACATCAAAGCAACTGTAGCAATCAAGTTATAACATTACAGGCAGTCCCCGAGTTACGCGGATCCGACTTATGTCGGATCCGCAGTTACGAACGGGGCACTTCCTCTCCCTGGTCTCGAGCAGACCAGGGAGAGGAAGCAAAGCGGCAGCGGAACGCGCGGCCAGCTCTGCTCCCCCCCTCTGCAGACCAGGGGGAGGGGGAGCAGAGCGGAGCGGCGGAACGCGCAGCCAGCTGACAGCCCAGACGCGTCTGGGCTGTCAGCTGGCCGCGCGTTCCGCCGCTCTGCTCTGCTCCCCCTCCCCCTCCCCCCGGT